AGTTTTCGCGTTAAACGCGCCAAGGATAGCGGTCTGTCCTGTTCGTTGGTCGATTTACGAGATCGAGCGAGGGTCGGCGAGAGAGCTAAGGAACGAGAGAATCCGAGAGCAAGGAGGGGGCCAAGACTCCGGTCAATTAAGCGCAGGAAATTAGAGTTTTAATTACGCAGTCATTCAGAAAATTACATCGGGGACCATGAAGAAGGCATCCGCAATCACCAACGAGCGACGACGAGGGCACGCCGTGCCCTTTCCTTCCGACAGACAGACAGACCGACCGACCGTCCGACCGTCCGACCGTCCGACCGTCCGGAAAAAGTAAATACAGATCGATCGAGAACGCGGTCGTTCCTTTATTGTCCAACGATCGTCGGGACGAGCGTTCGTCGAACTCTGTCTCGAGCAAGTAGACGAGGCGGCTAGAATAGCGAACCGGGTCCGAGGTATCGCGCGGCAGGGACTTTTTCGAACGAATAAATTACACCGTTGCGCGCGAACCGAGTCGTTCTCCTTAACTGCTGCATTTAAATTCTAGCAAACGAGCAATTCAGCCTTTAATTGCTTCGCATCCATACCCGATGTCCGTAACTGCTTTGCCGCGTGAACCGGTAACTCGTAGCCATTTCCGCGAAGACCGTTTCCCATGAAACTCGTCGCAAGCGTGCGCGCGCTTCGATCTGTCTACACATTCTATTCGTCGCGTGTACCGATTCAAGATCGACCATTTACCAGCAAAGCAACTTATTCGATCGTCGATTTTCCATCGCGACGCGCCAACTCGGCAGTGTCGGGTTCTACGTCCGTCTGGCGCGAACTACAACCGAAACGAACGAACGAACGAACGAACGAACGCAGGAAATAGTAACGTGTGGACTCTACTGGAAAAGAACGCCCGGAATAGGATACCGCGAATCTGGGTCACGAGAAAGTCAAAGGTAGCGCGTTAAATTTAATTACACGTGGCTGTGACGGCCGTTTGAACGGATATAGCTGCAGATTGGCCAAAGCTTGTCGAAATCGCTTCGATTCGCAGTCGATAATGGTATATCCGAGGAAACGCGACCGATATTCGGTTTAAATTGGTATCGATGGTACCCTTTAGGACAACTTCGTGACACGTCCATGTTCGACCTGTCCTCCCGGATTGCTTGATATCCGGATTGCAGTCCGGTCGACCGTTTCGAGCTTCGCCGGCAGAAAAAGAGAAAGAGAGGGAGAGGGAGGGAGAGAGAAAGAGAGTATCGGATAGAGCTCGATTCTACGAGTTAGGTATTATTACCAATGTATGCTAAATCGAACAGGAGATTGGTCGTTTCGTCGCTGGGACCGAATTATTATCGCTCTGCCGTTCGTACGAGTCGGTGCGGCACGCCACGTTGCGCCATGCCGCGCCACGCTCGGACTTGTTTGTATGTAATACAGTAATACTTTAACCAGCGGAATGTTCGGTAGATTAATGGTCAAGAAAGAATCAAGGATACGAAACGATGCTCGAGTCCAGAATCGGTCGCGTCGATCGTCACGGATTTTGATGCGAGCGAGCATCTCGATTGAAAAGTGACGTCGAACGGTAAATAAAGAAGCGTGAAATCGATCGCAGCATGAGGACGGTACAAATAGACCGGGATATAAGTGGAAATCGAGCAATGCGGGTCAGGCGGTAGGAAAAATTTTAAAAATATTTCTCGTCGGTGGTTCGTGAATGACGAAGAGTGTTAATTTTCGGAATGAAAACGAGACATCCATCTTTTGCGAAATGCCTGCCACTCGACGCTTCAATTCCCGGCCTATTCTCTCGCTCAACGCATTAGAGTAATGAATTAATTTCCATCCGAGTCCTCTCCTCTTTTTCCTCCTTCCCCGGCCGTCGGTGCTCCCTTCTACGTCTCGCAGACCGGTCTTTTACCACTCGTTTAGTCCGCAACGACCCGCCTCTCTCACTCTCTCTCGTTCGCTGCACCCTTCTCCTCTCCTCACCCCGTTATTCACCCTCGCTTTACATTCCAGATTTAAAGTCTATCTTCTTAATTATAACGGAGTGACAATGCACTCTCCCCACTGTCGCTTCCTTTCTCAACGCTTCCATTTCCCCGGGAAGTTTCCAAGGATCCGCCACGAGGCATCGTATCCCCGATGTCGGTTTCATTAAACAGAGATTCGTTCGCGTCGCGAAACTACGACGAATTGATCGACTCGTAGATTCAATATCTTCAAAATTGTCCTATTATTTTTCCGAACGAGGCGATCTCGCGTTGACGGAGTTGCGTCACAAGAGTCGTTGAAATCTGTATCAGGACGGAGGTTACTCGTTTCGTTCGGCGCACCTTGTACACCGTAATAGCGCACGTGTGCGTTCTCGTGATGGTACCCCGACTCCCCTTTCCTCGTGCCTCCGCGGCTCCTTGTTCTTTGGCGATGTTCGCGAGGCGCACGGCGCGCTCGTTAACGTATTCATGGGTTTATGGGACAATTAACCCTTTGAGGGACAGTATAATTACAGAAGCGATTAAACATCTTAACGTATAAACACGTCGGGCCCTGGCGACGTATACGTGTACGAAACTCGATGTGGCAGCCAGCCGAGTAGGCAGCCAGAGCGTTACCAATTAACATACTAATGACACGAGGCGCTTTTCGAGAGTCACTGTAACCGACTGGTCTGCAAAGCTTCCTGGCCACGTATACACAGAGCGTGCGTGCGTGCGTGCGTGCGTGCGTGCGTGCGGTTGCACATACTAGAGCGCGCGCACACACACGCACGAACGCGTCGAAATCGACTTGCCGCGCAGTAGTTGCCGGGAGCTTTGGCTTACAATTATTCGCGATTAGGGATCACGCGATCGACTTGCGGCGGAGACGCCTCCACGACGTTCCTTAATATAATTCAACTTCCACCAGCGTCGATTCCGTTTTCTCGTCGGTAACGAAGCAGCGTTCGAGAAATACTCTCCTCCAGTTTTCGCGTCCGAACGATTAACGGGGTCGGTTAACTCGACAGTACGAAAACACCGTGTTAACGTTCCTTGACGGAACGAATATAATCATCGCAGGGGAGCTGGATTGTTTTTACGCGACGCTCGTTCACTCGGCAAAGAGATTATAATAGTTTTAAGACGAGAAAAGGAACTCGTTTCCCTTGATTGGATTGAAACGTATCTCGCGCAAGCTATCCGTAACGACTTTCCTAATTACGCCGTCCATTAATTTTAATTGACCCGGTTTTTCTTTCCGAAACACGGATACTTTTCAACGATATTCGATTAAAAGCTCGTCGGAGGAATCTTATTTTCTGACCGCGAAATGTATTCGGCTCGTGGATGGAAAATGTTGGTCGGGAGGCTCGGTAACTGTTCGCGTTCGATCGACGGCAATGTTAAACTCCTAATGCGATGCACGGTGGTTAACAATACGGTTGGCCGCTCGATCATTTTGTTTGCCGCGGGCGAATTTGGTTATCGCGTAATCTCAGCCGGGCCGAAATGATCGACCTGTAAAATCATGGAAAATCTAGCAGGACAATACCGCTTACCAGTGTCATTGTGAAACCTTTATCGCGTTTTACGACACGGAACACGCGCTCGCCGAAAATCACCGCTCGGCGATCGTCGGATCGTGAATGCGTATACCGAAATGCTTTTGATTTAATTAGCTAATTATAATGTTCATTTAATTAATATAATTGGACCGGTTAGTGGGCGTGGGTGCAGGTTGTACGCCCTGACGGCGATGACTATTTTGCCGCGTTGCATTTAATAACGTCCATTAACGAACATTTACATTAGCAGTAATTATCGCGGTTCTCGCGCAACGACCACCCGATCGGGATATTTTCGCTCGTGACGAGATAATCGTTGATCCATCTAATTCGTTGTTACCGTATGCGTAAAAATGCGTTTAAATATTTCCTCGCAAACTACTTTTAACGCGAACAACATTTTCCTTTTCAACCAACGGGTTTGTTTCCTCTCGCGAACAGTCTCGATTTCTCTAGCAGGATATTACCAAACTAGAGCAATCAGTGTGTCGTTCGACTCTTAAAGAAGCTAGCTGTAATGCCATACCGACGTATTCGTCTACTTTTCGATGCTTTTCAAATATATTGCAAGATACACGTTCTTGGTCGTACCGCCGAAACAAATACTTGTCCTTTGCTCTTAGATTTTGATACGCGTTCGTTAGAAATATTGAGCCCTAACACGAATTCGTACCCTGCCGGGCGACGCACGCGAACGTCGAGTTGCCCGTTGCTAGGGGCATTTCGATAAGAAGCACAACTATGTTTCGTTCGAGACCTATAACGTGAAACTTTTTCGATCGAAATTTCTGGATGATTTTAATATTATAGTTGCTGGCAGTACTCCATGGTCGAGTGTTTTCTATACCGATAATTTGTTTTCTCATCGTCCTGTAAAACTTATTTCATTTCAGTTTCAACCGATTACGTTTCGTTTCGATGCGAACTTTCCATGTAATTCGTCTATAATATATCGAGAAAGAGAGAGAGAGAGAGAGAGAGGGAGGGAGGGAGGGAGGGAGGGAGGGGGAAGAGAGAGTGTCAGTTCTCGAACGAAATCGATATGTGTCGTTGGGATGTTCGGGACTCAAGGGTCCAGTTTCGTAGAGATTTAGGCAGTAGCCAGCTGGTACTTATGTAGTTGAAGATTTTTGGTCGCAGGACCGATTGATAAAGACGAGTGTCGTGTAAAGCGCGCGTGTAGGTGGTTGGTGGCGGAGAATGTGGAGGCGACACGCGCCGAATGGGGAACCGCGCATGCGCATAGCGAGGCGTGACGTGCCAAGTGACGTCGCAGTATGGAGCGAGGAGCGGCGGCCGAACGACGAGAGCGAGGAGACGTCGCGACGCGTCGGGCGAGTGCGTCGAGCAAAGTCTAGCCGAGAGTGCGCCGAGTGGTTGGCGGTCCCGCGTCGCGTCGCGCCGCGCCGCGCCGTGCCGTGCCGCGCCGCGTACCCTCGCGTACCGTCGCGTACCGTCGCGTTCCTCTTCATTCCGAAGTGAGTTGCTTGCCGTTGCGGACTAACCGACGCTGGGCACTGCGCTCTCGCTCTCGCTGCCTCCTGATCGGTGCTCAACCAGGAACCCCCGCCGGCGACATCGCGCATCGCCAATAACGCACCGTGCCATGCCGTGGTGCCACTGATACGCGATACGTCATCACCGCGTGCACGCCGAGCGCGTACTCGGTAATTAATTTAATTAAATTAGTTTTATGCCGCGACATCCGACCGCACGCGACTCCGCGACACGCGTACGCAAAGATCGATCGATATCGCGCGACAAGTGACTCCGAGTGCTGGATATCGAGAACCTTTCCTTTTCTCCTTTTTCCCCCCCAACTTGTACTTTTCTCCCAATCTACTTTCTCCTTTTTATCCTTTGCTCTCTCCTTTGAGAGAGAATTCGTTCGATTTATCGAGTGTGTTTGATGAGTGTCGTCGAAAGATACTTTTATCCATCCTACCAAAGGATCGAGGGAACTACCTATTCACCGCCGCTTCGACAAGAGTTTTAAGGATTTTTCAGTCCGTCTGTGGTTTCTTCCCTCGGTGAGTGTACCTATACCACGTATACATATACATATACGTATACGTATTTATATTGTTCCCTGAACAAGCACGATCGGCGCATTACGCGAGATTAAACTTGTCGTTCTTCTTGGTTTATGTTCGAATTAAATCGATCTACAAAACCACGAAACCGTGATTTTTCTCTCGCGGCGTGCACGTCGCGATCGAGGCGGGCGCAAGAATAATCGTCGATATCCTCTGGTCGCGGTGTTTGACATGCTCGCTGCTGCCGGTTCCGATGCGGCACGTTTCAATTAACCGTAGAACGCGCGCGACATGTTCATGGGAAGAGCGCGTCACGAAACGACCGCGCAATCCGTTTTCGCTGGTTGTTGCTCTTTAAACAACTGTTTTCGACGCTCGATGCAAACAAAGTCGAGTTGCTCGATGCGCGTTCTTGTTTACGTCTCGTAGGTATCGTGACGTAAAGAGTGGGTCCATAATATCTTTATGTTCTCAACATGTTAAATCGATTATCGGTTTATCGTTTTCGTAATTCGGACGTGTCTGAAACGAATACCGCGTGGATTTATCGAGCTCGTTTCACGTATACGAGTATAACTGGTGCACGCTCGATTCTCGAGTGTACTTACTTTCCACTCTTCTCTTTTTCTTTTCCTTTCTACCGTTTCCTTGACTCGTTCTTACATCGTAAACGGTCACGCTGTAACTCGAGAGAAAACGAAGCAGCGGACTCGCGCGTTTTTGACCAAGCTCGCGTTTCACGATACATTATTGTACATACACCGTGTCGTCTTGGTCTTTTTGAATTTGATTGTAGCAGAAATCGAGCATTATCGAACAATCCGTAGTATTCGGCGGTCGAATGAAACGCACGCTTTCGTGTACATTTACGTTTGAATGGCCGAACAAATATTCGAGCCGAGCGGCGTGGCACGGCGCGGCGTCTAGCTGGCAAGAAGGCGTTGTTTGCGAGAGAACCGTGCGGCGGGCCTCGCAACACTCGCCACCCACCCGCCGTGGCATTAATTGGGTGGAGCTTTAATTGCCCGAGCACGACCGACCGCCGGGCCCGCGCTCTTCCCGTCCAAGTTACGAGGAGAACGTTGCTAGGAGAGTCGCGTTAACGTTTACCAACCGACGGCCAATTTCTTCGCCGTTTACGATTATGTACACGATTCGATCGAAGTGAATTTCACGCTTCTCATTTTATTCTTTTTTTTTTTTATAAATAATTCGATCGCGACGCGATAGGAAATACTGTTTGAACAAGAGTGGACAACAGTCTCCCGTTAGTTTTGTCCTCCAAGTACTGCATTTTCTTTCCTTTCCTTCTGCTTCTCCTTCTGTACCGTTTCCCCTATTTTCTTTCAACTTTTCTATACCTATAACAGTCTCTGTGAACCCCTCGAAACGCGGAGACGACCAACCCCTAAATGAAATCCTGGAATTAAAGTCGTATATTAACCTCGCGGCATCCCCTAAATTAAAAAACAACATTTTTACGATGTCGGGGAGGGGTAGATGGCACACCACGGGCTCGTCGAAGAACGGAAATCGGTTCGCGGCTCCGCGAATATTCTCTTTTCATCGTTGCTCGATACTATCGTGACCTAACGTAGTCGCTTGTTCTACATAGTCCGCCGCGCCGACAAGGTTACCGAACTCTCCGACCGCAATTCTATTGTCCGTAAATTGCGTTTTTAAATTCGTCGGACGTTTGAAGCACGTCACGTGCTCGAGCGAGCTTCCGTAGCCTGCGTGCACGTTTCAGCGATCCTTAAATTTTCACGTAGGAATTTTGTTGCTTTCACCGCCGCTAATGTTTTCGATAAAAAAACGTATAATTTCTGGAGCTTCATCAATTAACACGTAAACTTGCCCCCGTTATTTTTTAGAACGAAGAACGTATTCGATACCGACGACTTTTCCGATCGAATCTCTAAAATTTAGTGAAGGATCGCCGTAGTACGGAGGCCGCGCATGGTTTGGAAGCGCAGTCTCGGGACGTTGGAAATTCATATAGGGTCGCGAGAGTTTGGTCTTAAACGGATATATTGTATATGTATTTGAAGTAGCGTTCAACTGGGTCGATCTGTGGAGAGCCATTGCGTTTGCGTCTGTTAAGAAAGAAACGGTAAAGGAAAGGAAAAAAACGAGGATCGGTAAGACGATGTATGTGGTCGAAAAGAAATTGAACGTTAAGAGAGGTTGACGAGACAGGATGGGCGGTCGGGGGGACAAGGAGCGCGTACAGCGTCGAGATTACCATGGAAATCCAGATCGGTCGCTTTGCATACTTTGGAAATACGTCCACGGAATCGGGTAAGGGTGTATAATGGAAGTTGAAATTGGTTGAGCCTGTCCCGTCTGGCCGAGCTATACCCGTATACGAGGTATCGAGGGAAACGCATTCCTTGCCGAAATTGCTTCGCACTCGATTCAACGGAAAACACACGCGAGGTTTCCAGTTCGAGGTTACGTTTTCGCGCGTCAAAAAATATACGCGACCGGGACGTAGACAGACAATCCCACTTTCCGGCAAACACACGCATACACTCGTGCACGCGTGCTTACTACTCTTCTCGATGCCTCGGCGTAACTTCCTCTGTCTCGCACTCGTAAAGCGTTGATTAAAACCCACCCGGCAAGAGAGAGAGAGAGAGGGAGAAAGTGTGTGTGCGGGTGTGAGAGAGAGAGAGAGTGAGTACGTGTGAGTGGGAGGAAGAAACAAGGAAATGCGAAAGAGCGAAAGGGAAAGCTAGACGCGCGAGGAGGTTGCGAGAGAGGGGGGCCAGAACGACGGAGGAGAGTTTGAGGGCAGAGGAAGTTTGGGTGGGTTCGCGTATGTACGCGTAAGTGCGTGCGTGTGTGCGCGTGTGTGTGTGTGGATGCGGTTGTAGGAAGGAACGCGCGCGCGGGTGGGCTCGAACGCAAGCGCACAGCACGCGAAACAAATCTGTGTGTGCGTGTGGGCGCGTGTGCGCGCGTCCAACGACGGTGAGTAGAAACGAGAGGGAAAAGCAAGTGGCCGGGTGGCGAAGAAGGAGAAGAGGCAGCAGGGTGAAGGTAGCGGGTATATACGTGGAAGAGGGTGAGAGAGGTTCGTCGAGGGTAGTAGGTAGGGGTGGTCCAAGGCGTTGCTTGCTTAATTACTAAAAGCTAATCAATTCCGGAGGAAGTAAAGTTTAAATTGCAAACTAAAGTATAGCTAGCTCCCGGACGTAACGCTGCAAAGCGATATTACCGCTCGCTGCATTCTGCAATTAGCCCGTGGTAAATCATTGAAAACAAATTATGGGCGGAACTCGTGGACGGTTAAGCCCCCGCGCGACTCCTCTATCTAGAAAAATATTCGCCTCCGCTGTACCGGGATTGGAATTTTGCTCGGCAATACGACCTCGGGTTCTTTCGCTCGCGTTAATAAGCCCAATTAATCTCGCTCGGCCACGATTTTTCATGGTTCTTTTTGCCCGCGCTGCGCCACGCCACGCCACGCCACGCCACGGCACGACGTACACCATCGGCCAACAGACCACCTTCGATCGCAGACCGACGAATTAAATTTCTGGCCAACCGATGATTCATCGTATTAAAGGTCACTCGTGCGTCGACGATTTCGTGCAAAAGGTTTCTTTCGTTCCCGTGGTATAGTATATTCGCGGTGGAAGTTTTTCTCTGATGGATAACTCGAAGGAAACTGCTGGTACAAGCGTACGGCGAACGATCGAAAGAAGCAGGGAGAGAGGAAAGTGTCGGAAGCGAACTAGAAGGAGAACGAAGCGAGGTATACGGTACTGAAAACAAGCAATAAAATCAATGTCGTTTCCGGCGATTCAATTCGCAAGACACATCGCACAATTTCACATACAATTTTACGGCAGAACGGCCAGGACTCCTATTTACTTCACGGCCGGTCCATACACCCTCTCTCTATAACCGTTTACCCTCGCGCCCTCTCGGCGCTCTTTTTCGCTTCTTCGAACGGTCGTTTTCTTTATCTTAAATCGTTGGGCAAGGGCGGCCCGGCCGCGACGGGCGAGATCGACCGCGACGCCACGCGACGCGACGCGACGCGACGCGACGCCACGCGACGAAACGGGCTGAGATTCTTTGGAGCAAATCGGGTCCGGTTAATAGCGCGAGAACAAACGTACGCGGAAAGAAACGACCGTTTCGATCGCGTTGAATCGATTTCGACGGTACGATATGCTAATCAAACGTCCCTGTGGTTCATGGTCGAGGCTCGGATAAACTACATACTCGTTCGATACATGTATGTAGTATCTAAGCGTATACGTGTAAACTCGAGCAGCTACCTACCGGTCCTCCGTTAGTCACGCTCGCTTTGCGTCACGTTCCCGGTTTTAATTTCCTACTATTTAAACGAGCAAACCGTCAATCACCGTCGCATTTGTCAGTCGCAAATTACTCTCGAATCGCGCATAATACCGGATTATGAGCACGATTGCCGATGCAGTTTGCGATTAATTCTGAATCAACCGCTACCGTACCTACGCATCTACTACCCACGTATAATAAGTTTGAAAGTAAATTCGTATAATTAATTGCATAACGAGGTCGGCGTTGTAACGAGCGATACTCCGAACGAATCGAATTCGTGGACTTAACGAGCGAACAGGTCGTTCGCGTGGAGATGCGGAATCGATGGAAAGAAATATTTAAACGCGTCATAACGAGCGATCTAATTAGAGCTCGAGTCGCGATAATGACACAACGGATGTATGCGTTCAGCTTCGTTCCTAATGGACCTACTAATGACTCTGTAATACGTGTTTACAACCTTCCTTCTTCTACTCTTAATCCGCGACCTTGCTTTCCCTCTTTCGAACTTTGAATGCCGCTTCTACTGTTTCCATTCCCTTTTATTTTCGCTCTTTCACTATCAGAAATAACCGTGCCGAAGCGACGCTTTCGTTAACGAAACAAAGGAACTTGCCCGTAGTAGTTTATCAATCGGATATCGGCTGCTCGATTAATTATGCAACGTAACGCGC